AATGCAAGCGAGGGCCTCAAGAGCACAGCAGCCTTGGCACCAGCATCACCGATGGCACTGAAGCTGAGGTCAATAGTGGTGAGGCTGCTGTTCCGCTTCAAAGCCTCTGCCAGAGCCTTGTTGGGGAGAGACCATATTCCACGGCAGGACAAGTCGCATCTTTTCCTGACTCCGCGACCCTCAAAGCTGAACTTGTCGGAGCCTCGGCCACAGCACTGCCATCAGAGCCTTCTGCAAGCTCGATATGGATGTCTTCCAAGGTCTTCAGTGAAGCTAAAGCCTGTCAAAAAGCAGCTTGGGGATGGAAGGAAATCCGTTGATTTTCGGGATCTGCCAGGAGGATGCAACTTGGATTTAGGAGTATTGTTCTGCCCGGCTACAGAAGACTTTGACTTTGACATGAAGCTCGACGCAGCAGACGGCGGCCTCGCCCAGGGCCTTCGCCTCCTCTTTGCCGATGAAGACTTTGATGAGTTTCAAGGCTCTCAGCCGCTTGTAAAACTTCAACGACTCGGCCAAAGGCCGGACCTCCTCAGCAGGAAGGTTCTCAAGCACTGCCTCGTCACATGCTGAAACTTTGTCGTGGAAAATCTTCGCTTGGAGCTGGCTGACGGCTTCCTTATCGGACCTGTGGGTAAACCGGGCATCTGCCATCAGCTGTTCGAAGACAGCGGGAGACATCGGGACTCTGCCCTTCAGTTCATCTGTTCCTAAATGGTCACCTGGGTCGATCCTCTGGTGCTGTGCAGTCCTGTTCCTGGCGCAGGACCACTGCACTTCACCCCTGCACCAACCGCGATCTGCATACGGAACGCGGTTTTCCACCAAGTCCTTGAGCGGGAGCTGTTGGACTGCTCCGCTGACTTCATGAAACACCGGCACCTTGAACGACGAGTCCTGAAGCGCTGCTTGCCAGACGGCGTCCGGCGTGAGACTTTCGATGCGAAAAGTGAAGCTGTACTCGTGTGCATAGAGCACCTGCATGTTCTGCATCGCCAGCCGGAAGCTTCGCTCCTCTTCTTCGCGCTGGCGCTCGAACTGAAACAAGGAAACGTAATCATAGAAGACCCACACATCATCATGGTAGGCAGCATCATACAGAGAAACACAATTCACCAGCTGCCGCAGTTGGAATCTGCATGGATCTGGGTGTTCCCTAGTCTCCCAGGCATGCGACACGGAGCAAATCAGGGCGTCTTTGCGCCCCGCTGCCCACTCGCTGAGCTCCGCGTGGGTTACCAAGGCTGGGGCCTCCTCGCCTCTGACGTCGCCTCAGAAGCTGCAGTCAAGTTTTGGGTGCCTCTGGGCTCGAGGCTTCGAGGTGCTGCTGTCTTCCGGGTATTATCGGGACATGTCAACTCCATGTCCATGCACCTGAGCTGTACCTGAGGATGTCACACCCGGCTATGCAGAGAACGGAGAGAGCCAACTAATTCAATTTCATCCAGGCGCAGACTGCATGCTCCGCTTCTTGCCGTCTCGGCAGGGGCGTCCTGGAGTGTCGCAGCTTGTAGAGGTACCTTGGAGCCCAGAACTTCCAGTGGTGCCATCCAAAGGTCGTCACATGCCACAAGTGGGATGGAGCACTCGGCGCGCACGAGGCGGATGTTGGCGTCCTGCAAGAACTTAGCCAAGTCCTCCTTCACCCGGAGGTCGTACGTGGCCTGGCACTAATGGCGGTAACTGGCTCCCCCCACTGCACCGACAAGCCCACCATCGGTGCACGCTGTGGGCGTTTCAGTTGAGGAATTGAGGGCTCGGGCTTTAGGTCTCAGCGAAAGGTTTAGGGTTTGAGTCCTAGGATGTCGATTTCAGGTGTCGGTTTTATCTAGACCAAAAAAAGTACCTTTAACGGGGACGTGCCTCCAAAATCATAGCCGATTGTTCAAACATGTTTAGGTTAGACCCTGAGCCGGAAAGCAGTGTCAGTCGCTTCTGGCGGCGCCTCCGGGGTGTCTTCCAAGCACCTTCCCGGCCATTCACCAGAAAGCCGCTAGACCAAAGAGATTATATAATAATTATAGTAGGAGACAGTACGGTATATAAGGGGGCTATAATGGGAAAGCTGATGTTGAGAAATATTGTTGATGATATGAATCCTGCATTACCTGAAGGACCCTAAACTATGGAAATTGAAGTATACTCCTTGCTTATGGGTGATGCAGGATTTATATCATCAACCGTACCACTTTGCACTACCACGCCTCTCTTGCGTAGAAGCCATTCCAGCGGCACGCAACCTCGCGGGAAGCCACCAGTCAACTCAGTTGGGGGAGCTATAATTTGGCAATTTGGGACTAGAAAAATTAGGGGTCCTTGAAAAGGACTATATGGGGCTTGAAGGGTAGATATGAAGATTTCTTTGGGATACTTGACATTTAGTCCAGGGCTCGGCAGTTTCTCAAGACTAGGGTCCCCATGTTGTCGAACCGAGGAAAGGGAATTGCCCCTCCCTGCGTCACCATCCACTCCACAAGAAACCGCAGAATACACTCCGAACTTCATAAATGCCGAGGTCTGAGCTTTGCGGCAAACAGCAGGTGTCCTCTCCACACTTCGGCGACATTGGCTTCTAGGGGCTGGTATTAGGGTGTTGGGATGGTCTATAGGCTCCAAACTTTCTGAGGTTTTCGGCTTCGAGCCCGAATGGTCCTGTCTGCTTACGTACAAGTCTGCATGGCTACTAAAGCTCCCAAAAGTCAGTTCAGCGTTGTGAGATCAAAATTCGGCATCCGAAAGAGGGTTAAATTATTAAACCCTAAACCCTAAACCCCTATAACCCTAAGTTAAGGGTTCATAGAGTTCAGGGGGGTCGGGCTTCTGGGGCTAATCATAATGTAGGGGCCTTAATAATTACCTATATTATTTTGGGGGGTTCCTTATTATATGTTTAGTATAATATATCCCAAAACCCTATTGAAAATAATTGAAGCCCCTATATTACCCTGAAACATCTTCTTAAGGACTCGGAAAACATACGGAAGTGTCAGACACGGCAGGAAATTTCGGGCCGAAGTAGGGCCTAGGGTGGAATGCTTGGGGCTATTTGTAGCCGACCTGGCAAGGTCCGGGGCTAGGGGAAATACCCAAAGACTCCCAACCCCTTTAATCAAGGAATATATACCTTAGATCTTCTTAAGGGTTCCTATCATATTTTAGTTTAATGCATATTCCTCAATTAAGGGGGTTTTGAGTCTATGGGTTCAACTACTTGAGTTTAGTTTGGGGTTACGGTTCAGGGGTTTAGGGTTTACGGGTTTAGGGTTTACCTTAGGGTTTAGGTTTAAGGCTGTAGGAAAACACCCTATCGGGACTAGGATTCGGCTTCAGTTTCGGACTTCTGGTATGTAGTAGGAATAAGAAGACTTCAGGAAGCACAAGGAGATTAGCAATTAGTTGTTTGATCAACGTATCCCTTATAGTCCCTACAACTATAGTATAATTCCAAGAGTTAAGGCCCTGTACTAAGCCTGACAACCCTTCCACTTCGGTGATGAGCCACGGGATGCCCGGATCTAGGTGGCAACGGCTGACGCGTGCACGAAGGTCTGGGCACAACGATCCCTCGTTTCAAGACCAGCGGTTGAACCCCAAAGCCTCTCAACAGAGAATAGAATCATAAATGATCCGAGACTTAGCAAGCTTAGAGTTCAGGGGTTGAAGGTAGGGTTGTGGGTACTTTGATAGGGGCGATCCGTAGTTATTCAATTCAGTATATTTACCCGACTTAAAACCATACTTACTAAGTCCGCTGAACCTTAAAGTTTAAAGCATAGCCTCTCAAGCCAGGCATGGCTCCATTCGCACTGTGATCACAGAGCACCATGTGACAAGCAGCTGAAGGCGCCACGCCCACTGCTTTTTGGAATCTGTGCTGCACGCGAGCAATCGGCAAAACCCGATGCTTGTGGAATCTGTGCCACTTTCAAACGGCAAATGTGGAGTTCTTGCTGTGGGGCACGGGATGCGTGCACTCTCATGATGACTCAAGGAGACTTCTACCATGGCAGTCATTGCCGCCAAATATCAGCGAAGTCTTCAGGTAGAAATAAACCAATGCGCAATTCGTCGGACTTCTGCGCACTTCTGTAACAGCCTTTCCAAAAACAACGAGAGTACTTTATTCGGTAGATCATCCACCAACACCAGCGACATCAAGCACCACGGAAAAAGAGATAGCCTAAGAAGTACACTTGTAAGCTATAGACTCCGAACTTGGCGATAAGCGAAGCAGAGCTGGTTCGCTTTCTTTCGAAGGGACATTGGCTGCGTGGCTCTACTGCGGCAACACGGTCGTGATACAAGAAGTCTTACACTGTGTAACCTAGCCAAAATCCACTATACACGGCGCCTGCATGCACCACGGCTCGATACTTCCGATCAATCCTAACCATCGGTGCGGATCTCAAGCTGCGCAGGCTGCGCCGGCTGCGCCCCAGTGTTCTTGCGCGCTGCAGTGTTAGACACCGGGGCCTCGCTGGCAGGAGTTGACATCCAAGCCGCCGTTTCTGCAAGAATGGCCGTCTCGCAAGACTTGATCATGTTGGAGATGTTCTCGACAGATGCCTGTTCCACACCCGTGAGGCTCTCCCACCACGTCAACGTTTGTTCCAGGGCCTGGACCGTCCATGTATGACGCGTTGATTTCCTTCCGTAGTCTGCAAAGTCATTCCAAGCCGCACAGCATCCAGCCAAGGACACAGTGACGGTGAGCCATCGCTGCATACCAATGAAGGAGAAAACAGTTCCCACAATGGTTAAGCTGACGACCAAGATTTTGAAAATAAACTCCAGGCGTGCATTGGGGGGTACTTTTTTGCGGCTGTACTTGATGGCCATGACGACTCGAAGGTCGACATAGGTATCGGGTGATATTGGAGAGAAGAAGTTCTTGTAATCGTCATCGCTCATTTCCGGCGCGCCCTCATTGCATTGCTTACTTAAGCCTCGGAACCCCTCCTTCCAAACCCTGTAAAACCGTGGCCTCTACACTCTATACACTCTAAAACCTAGGTCCTGAGCCCGAAAGCCGTCACCATCGAACCCATCGGCTTGCCGGCTCTTCGTCCCGTGGCCAACCAAACATTTTAATGCACATCTGCTGCTCAACTGGAATACTCAAGATCCCAAAGGATCCTAGTACCCATATAGGGGATACTTACCCTAACCATAATCATATTCCCTACTATAGAGACCCGACAGAGGACCCTTTGCGTCTCAAGCCTCAAAGAGCACAACGACGATGCCTGGACTTTATCAACTGAGGCCGGTACGGAACCCTTGGTGCCCTCGACCTTACCGGTCTTTGCTGGGCGTATGGCATAATATATAGGGGCCTGAATAATTCGAATTTGGCTTTGGGGTGGGAGGGTATAATAAAGGAATTATAACGGAATAATCGGAAATTTTCCGACCTCTACATACAACATTTCTACAGTGCACACTTCCGCTAGTTCATCCTGCACGGGTGTCCCAATCAGTTCCGGTCTCCAGGCTGTCTGGGCCTCTCAGGAAACACCCTAACTACTAACTGCTGAGAGGCATTCAACCCCGGAAGGATCGCTTTCTTCAGTAAAACAACAACGAAATTTGGGAAGAAGAACAGGCTGATGATCAAAGAGATAATGATATTGATCGCAATTAAATAAATTGTATTGACACTGCTGCCGCTGGTGATGGTAATGAGGATAAAGAAAAAAGGAATGTGATACTGATGATTGCGAAATGACGAATAATACGATGCAGTGCGACTGTGAATAGCACCATCATGTTGACCAACAGCAGAGGTCAGTATGACGAGCGGATATGGAGTATGGTGATTGAGGATGCTGTGATGAAGACCATGGTCAACAAAATGATGGGAACAAGGCAGACTCATGAGGATTTGAATATGAGCATGAGATACATTAGCGAGCGAGGTACTGCTGCGTTGACGAAGAAACAAAACATTAGCATGAATATGAGATGGAGAACAATCTGGTGATGGCTTGTGTAGCGGTCAGGATGGTCATGTGTTGGTGCCGATGGTAACGATGATGTGAGCATGATGATGTTAGCGATCACGACAAGCAGCATCAGCTTGAGGGAGATGGTCATGAAGATCACCGTTTTGGCTGGTGTTCTGGGTTGTGGTACTGCCGAGGAAAACTGACTGCCCGCACAAGGCTTGAATGGCTTGTGCTGCTTCCAGCTTTATGTCAGCTGAGTTGACCAGCAAGCTCATAACCTGGTCGTCCGGGCAGTCAGGCATCTGGAGACTGGACCAGTCCTCCCATGCTCACTCAGGCCCAAGAAGAGCAACGACCCTGATTCAAATATCGACCCTACCCTAAACCCTAAATCCGATGCTCATCCGATGTGCTTGCAAAAGCTCACAGTTCGGCATCCGAGACTCTTTCTCGAAAGTGGAGCTCTCTAAGTCCGCAGCGCTCAAGATAGCATATCTCCAGCGGCTGATCTCGTCTCTCAGGGCCACTTCTGGATCGCTGAGCCCGGAAGTTGCAGACATGGCAAACAGGTCCACTCGAGATCGATAACGCCAAATGATCGACTTCAGTTGACATGCATGCAATCGGAGCTGCTGCCAACGTGCCCGCGAGTTTAGCAAGGAGTTGCAAGCGACCACAATCGAGGCGGCAGAAGCTAGCACAAAACACATTTGCGTCGTCGTGGCACCCACACCCAACTCATCCCCTAGAGCTGTCAAGAAGATGATTAACCACCCATTAAGGAGCTGAGCAAACGTTAAGATCTTGCACCACCTCTTGTGAAAGTCGGCCATTCGCATTGCCACCTTGTAGTCCCTCCAGGCCCGATAAAGCAATGGAGCCGCTTCTACAGGATTCCGCTCTGGTAGCCTGTTGGCAGTTGCAAGACCCCTGACCTTTTTGCTCACCATGTCCTCCAGGTCATCAAACAGGTTCACATGGTATGTCTTCGGCGAAGACAGAATCAAGCAACTGCACAATATCATGGCATCGATGTGCCTCCCGTAAGCAGTTCTCTTCAACAGCTCGTGATCGGGAATGTCTTCTTGCTTCCCACCGTCGTCAGATTCCACATGTTGATCACCATCGGCATCTGCAGCTTGTATGCAGCTGTCAGGATGAACTTGCTCGTCACCACCGTGGTGCGAAATTTCCACACCACCGACGCTTGACGGTTGCCCAACCAAGTCATCAACTGGCTGCTCAGCCCCGGGATCCGCAGTTTGTGCATTGCTGTTGATTGATGTTGGAGGAGGATGTCTCTTCGAGATGTGCCTGTAGGTTTGCATAGTAAGAAAGCGTGCAATGTCTGAGACCTCCCTGGGGGTTGCTTTGGCCTCTTTGCAGACAGCACTGAAAAACGCGATGGTGCATGCATCGAAGGACTCAGTCTTCTTTGCCTTTTCCAAGGCTTTCAAGCCGGCCTTGAAAGCTGATTTGGCCTTGCGGATGGTGTCTTTGTCTCTGAGACGATCTTC